TTCATTGCCGATGTGAACAGAACGCAAGCCAGAATAAAACTAAAATGTGCAAGTTTATTTCACGGAAGAGACGACCTCGTTAATGTTATAATCAATATGTTTAGGATAATCCCTCTTTCTTCCGCTTATATCTACTAGTCACTGAACCGCCTACCATTTTGCGCTCTAACGAAAACACATGCTTCTAGGACGCACCCATCGGCAAAACCGAGCAAAATCTGTATTGCACAACTAAGCCGCATTATATTATATTATAATTTTAATTCCCCCAAAATGATTGCCTAGTATCGTAAATATTGGGTCCGTGCATTATTGTCAGTTTACGAGTAATAAGCACTCATTTGTAAATGTTACCTTTTTGAGTTAGGTAACAGACATCACTTAGTAGATGAGACACAGAGAAAACATAGATGTTGCAGACATCTGGTAAAAAGGACGACCAACCTGAAATTGCGTGCTTGCGAAATAAACGTATTTCGGTCTTAAAAACGTTTATAAACATTACATTTTTAAGCTTGTCGCCTGAAAATTTATAATACGTTGTATATAAACTTACATCTATGTCAACGATTCTTATAAGACCTTTTTATATATACAGTAGATGTGCTGACTCATGAAATGTGAACCAAAATTTAGAAATGCCTTCTCATTTCGAAAAGGTAAATTAAGCAGTTTTGTAAAACTAATCACGATGCAGCATAAGTCTATAATGATCCAGTTACCTCAGGGTGTCGGCTTTCGAAAGAACATATTTTCGGCTGCATGCAAGATCTATACTCTGCAAAAAATGACTACTTATATAGCATGCAATTTTCTCATTGATTTTCGATGCCCTTGAAAATTCAATTATATTTCATGGAAAACACGCATAAAAATATTCGTTCTTTTACTTTTTCGGTAGGAAATCACGTCTTCATCTAATTTCATACTGAAAGGGGAGTATACTTCGGTTTTAAAAAAGTTTCTAATTGTGAGATTTTTTAAATATCGTTAAATGGCCGTTCATGAAACGTCATGCATCTGCATTTACGAATGCGGCTTGTAAAGTTAACAATATTGCATTCATTTCTCTACGGTGTTAAGAGGATACCATATGAGGTTCATAATATTAAGCAGTGGATTTGAGCAATATTGTTGACTTTACAAGCCGCATTCGTAAATGCAGATACATGACGTTTCATGAACGGCCATTTAACGGTATTAAATTATCTCACATTTCGAAACTTTTTTAAAACCAAGGTATACTCTTCTTTTGTGTATGAAATTAGAGGAAGTCGTGGTTTTCTACCGAATAAGTAAAAGAATGAATAATTTTATGCATGTTTTTTATGAAATATAATTGAATTTTTAAGCGCATCGAACATCAATAAGAAAATTGAATGCTACATATGTAGTCATTTTGTGCAGAGTATAGAGCTTGCATGCAGCGGAAAATATATTCTTTCGAAAGCCGACACCCTGCGGTAGCTGGATCATTTTAGATTTATGCTGCATCCTGATTAGTTTTACAACACTACTTACTTTATCTTTTCGAAGCGAGAACGCATTTCGAAATTTTGGTTGACATTTCATGAGTTAGCACATCTTCTGTAAGTAGAGAACCTCTACGTATAAAACATGATAAATGCACATATGTTGCTGCATTTCGTGATCAAAATAAATCAAAAATTAGAAAAGCTCGTTAAAACAATAAGACACTTGTTTTTTAGCCACAACGTTTAAAGAAGAGACACTTTTCAAGCGAACACGTAAAGGAGAAACATTTTATGCTCCTTCTCTATTGCGTTTACTCCAATCAATAACGCTATCGAGCATCAACAGAAAAAAGGCATCCCATCTGTGTGGTCATTTTCCAGAAGAGGAAGGTTGTAGGTGGTCAGCAATAAAACTGTTCAAAAGCTAGAAGCCTGGTGTGACTAAAACTTTTCACAATTATTCGTAGCGAGCACTGATGTGAGAACCAGTGGAAAAAAGTTTTCAGAATCTTGACTGATATTTTAGGAAGCAGTATGCCTACTACACAAAAGAGCAGTGTGGTTGCATTCAGTCACGCGCAATGCAAAAAGCTGGTGGGCACCATCTACGTGGAGTTGAGACTTTAGACAGAACACGGTAACGGGAAACTGTCGTAAAAAAGTGAAAAATTGACCGTCTATCATGCATCAGTAACAAGTATTCAACAAATATCGAACCAGAAATGCTAACATTAAGAAGGTTTTTGGACACATTTACAGGCATGCCTTCGCTTTTACGGAATGAACGCGCATGCAGTCCAGCCACAGGCTGTAAATATCAAAATATGCAGAAACTGAAGCCGTTTTTGACGCCGGCGCTGCTGAGGTAGTGGACCGCGCTACAGCGACTACAATAGTCGCAAGTGACAGTAAAACAGTATCGATGACCTTGTGTCAACTGAGCGCAACTCACCAAAGTAAAGTCCTGTGTGCTATACTCATAGCAACCAATTAGCTACGCGGCAAATGGGTCCTGGAGAGATGGGGACTACTGCCGAGCCTTGTCGCCCTTCCGGCCTTCAGACGACATTGTTAGTTTGAATTTTTGCAGTCTACATGCGCTGCAGTGTCTCACAACGCGTTGTGCTACCGATTGCTTCGTGTGCACATTTTGAATAAACAATTTTTTACGCAACTCGACTGCTTTAAAACCCAATTTGCACTTTTCTGCGATTTGCGTTTCCTAAGGGGCGTAAAACGGAACTGTTTTTTGTCGTTAGTTGCAAGAGAACTATGAGAATGTGAATTGATTTAATCCACTGATTAGCTGAGAGTTGTGAGTGACTACCACTTCAACGCAATTCACGTTTCATACATGCTTCATTTCTGGCAAAAAAATAATGACTTCAATTTCCGCCTTCCTCACAGGACTATGGTAACTGGCATAAACCGTTCGTTGAATGAAGTCTGTTGGTATCGGGTAAACAGTTATTTACAAATCTTAATGAAACCATTCCGTAATGGCCTGATAGCTCATTCCAATCGTAGTAATTTTAAACCACGAGTGACCTAAACTAAACACGCATTCGCAACAGTCTGCCACTGGGTTATATGGGATATTCCCAAGATATGACGGGCAAAATTATTTAGTTCTGCTCCAACCATTGGTTTCACACTATACCGCCCCTTTTATTACTGTACAAAATAGCTTGTCAGACACTTCTGCCACCGTTTCCTTCTAATGTCCCGTCTCGACTCAGTCCGTAATATCAGTCTGTCAGTTGCTGCCGACAACCTGATCTCATGAAGCCTGATGGCAGGCATTTTTATTGTCATTAGGCAGTCTATTCCGCGCATTTGTTGCAATGTCATGACAAAAATGCAATGCCAATTCCTTCAAAAATAATTGCGATGGTGGCTTGTCAGTCCAAGTCCGAGTCGTTAATTGCCGTGATTTCGTCACCCGTGCTGGATGCTAGTGTGACGATTGCTCGGCAAACTGGCTCACTGTCACTGTGATAATTGCTCGCCCGCACCCTCCCCACGTGACTGATTCTCCTGCCCAGGGAAAATCTCGGCACGGAATATGGTGCCGGGAGGTCATTGCGTTTGTTTATTGTTTGCGGGCCTGTGAACCATGACTCGAGCGGCTCGCGGCACGCCGCTGCCACCCCCTGGGAGGATTTCGGCCTCTCGAAACGTGAAAATATGGCCGGGTCCCATCGAATGAGCCGCCACCTGAGAGCTAGCGTCTCCCCGCATCACTGCTGCTGCGTGCTCGGCAATTCGCGTACAGTTTCTCCGACGTCGGTTGCTGTATGGGGTCGTATTCATTGAAACCCTGGTTCGCAGCATGAGGAAGATGTCTTTGGAAGGGGGAATGTTGGAGCAGTCTGTCATGAATGACATGAACAAGGGCCTGAAGGCTACGTCAGAGGCTAGAACCAAGAAGTATCTTGCCACTAATTTTGCGGAATATAAGAGACTAAAGGAAGCAAGTAAGGGAATCATACACTCCAACAAGAATGAACCACACACAGAGACCTACTCCGAAGAAAACCCTTCGCGATCGATTTGGTGCCTGCCAGTCTAACATCGCACTGTATAAGCCGTTTGAAAATAGACGATTTACCTGGAAATATTAACAAAAACTTTCGACCCAAACGTCCTGCGTTAGTAATGGTCTTCTTTTTGATTGCCTCAGCAAGGTCATCCCCCGCATTCATCAAGAGCGGTATCAAAGTGAATATGGATGTGTACCTGGATGTTCTTCAGAAGCATGTCATGCTTTAGATAGATTCCAATTAAATCCCAGACGGCAATGTGGTCTTCATCAAGATGGTGCATCCCCATATACGTCACGGAAGACACAGAACTGACTCCGAAAGGCTCCATTACTGAATTTACCGGACTATATCAGGAACACGTGCGACAAATCCAGACCGAGAACCGAAGAAGTCATTACTGACAATTACCATGAATTTTTACTAGTTAGTTTGTAATACTAAATTTTACGTTATTAGTCATTTTGTCTTCATCTGGGTCAGACTGCAGTTCGAATTAGTCAAGTTACGAAATTTACGGCCGCTTACATTACGTGGCATTTTTGCTGCAGTCCACAAATGTACGCCGAGAGATTGCCCAAGACCAGTCTGGCAATCCCTCGAAATCCTTATTCTTCTGTCAACAGTGATAACGGAAGGTCCAGTGCTTACAGTATCCGTGCGCGTTGGTGAAGACGGTACATCTGTTATCCGATATAATAACGACCATTCACACCGACCAATTTATCTGGATCTTACTTCCGTTGTGCTATTAGCAAACGTATAATTATTTTCTTTCAAATAATTCTACCGCTTGATTTGTTTTGTAATTATTTATTAAAAGGGTCCCCGTAGAATGTTAGTGTACAGTGTGAATGTCCGCAATTCTGGAGTTCATTTTCCAAAAAAAAACACTTCTCATGCCTATCGATTTATTAAAGGACCATAGCACAAACAAAAAGGCTTCCCTGCAAATTCAAATAGCAAAAAATACTCATGTGAATCAAATGGACACGAGAAGCCAAATGAAATATTCGTAGTCAAATCTGCTAAGAAGATGGTACCGTGTTTGATTGATTCCATCATTCATCCAACGGGAGGACACACTGTCCATAGTAGTTAATTTAATGCGATCCTTATTTTCATCTCGTGGATGATTGGCGTCAAACTCGTCAAAAATACCGTCACTGCCTACAGTTCGATCAACGGTAATGTTATTCAAGTGCAGTCGAAGAGACAGGTCATCGTCTTCGCCACCCCAACCGTAGAAAATATTAGAAGCACCATTGATTTTTTCAATCTGTTCCCACGTGAAGGCAGTCGCGCCCCCGAGAAATGTGCTGTACAACCTGAAATGCAATTGGAAATTTGTGCATGTTAGTCCAACGATAAAGTCGTCTTTGAAATGCATACCATGCCAAAATATCCGAACACATCGAGTGTATTTATTTTGCCGAAATATAAACTCCACGCTTTATTCACAATAATATCTCCAGCTCATCAGGTTGTACAAGAAAATAACAGTAGTTATCTATGGACCTCAAAAATGTCACACATAACACCCTTCTCGGTACGAGTCTGTGTATCGTGTGGATCCCGAGGAAGCCTTCCGTGTGATTTATAAGGTCCCACCTAAATACTTTAAGCGACTAGATCTTCGCTTACAAGCAACAACAGAAGCAACTGCCATTAAGCTACAGATTCCGGCCCTGTGAGCACAGACGAACTTCTGCCGTGGTCAAGGATCAATTAACTATATGCATGTCTCCGCGCCCCCGTTCCCCCCTCGCCCTTCTCTCCCCATTTGACACGGCCATGCCTAACCCTCACTGTCACTTATTGCCACCCTTCCCTTCCCTCCCCTTTATTTACATACTCCGTTTGTATGAAAAGACGAACCTTAGTCGATTGCACTTATCGTTCACAAGTCTCAGTTTGTGCCTCGTTCCAGTAGATGTGCTAACTTATGAAATGCCAGGCAAAATTTCGAAATGCGTTCTTGTTTCGAAAAGACAAATTAAGCAGCATAAATCTTTAATGATCAAGTTACCTCAGGGTGTCGGCTTTCGAAAGAACTTATTTTCGGCTGCTTGCAAGATCTATACTCTGCAAAAAATGACAACTTAAGTAGCATGAATTTTTCTCATTGATTTTCGATACCTCTAAAAGTCCTATTAGATTTCATGGAAAACATGCATAAAAATATTAATTCCTTTGTTCATTCGATAGAAAATTACGTCTTCTTCCAATCTTATACTCGACGGAGGGACATAATTCGGTTTTAAAAAACTTTTCCAATTCCCGAATAATTTTGAACCCGCTCTACCGTTACACTTGGATTCAGGGTTCCCAAACTACAAGCTGTATATTCTCCGCGTACGGCAAACCATACATTTCTATACGGTGATAAGGAGGGACCATATAGGGTTCATAAACGTTAGCAGTGGGTTTGATCCATTTTGTTAACTTTACAAGCCATATTGGTAAATGCAGAGACATGACGATAAATGAACGGCTATTATACGGTATTTCAAAGCCCAATAATTAGAAACTCTTTTAAAACCGGATTATGTCCCCCCCTAGAGCATTAAATTAGGAGAAGACGCACTTTTCTACCTAATGAGCAAAAGAATGAATAGTTTTATGCATGTTTTCTATGAAATATAACTAGACATTTAGGGGCATCGAAAATCACTGGGAAAAATTCATACTACTTAAGCAGTCTTTTTTACAGAGTGTAGTTTTTGCATGCAACAGGAAGGAAGTTCACTAAAAAATCAATGAGAAAATTGCATGCTACATAAATGGTCATTTTTTGCAGAGTATAGATCTTGCATGCCGCCGAAAATAAGTTCTTTCGAAAGCCGACATTATAGATTTATGCTGCATCATGATTAGTTTTACAACATTACTTAATTTATCTTTTCGAAACGAGAACGCATTTCTAAATTTTGGTTGACATTTCATGAGTTAGCACATCTACTGTAAGTGCGCAGGCCAGATGAGAATTTATCGGATGTCTAGGCTCGCCAAATGCTCTTCTGAATTCCACCATTTTCTGCTTCTCTTTCGTGGTCAAGTATCTTCAATGTTTGTCTTACCAACGTCGTAGAAATTAGTTTGTGACAAAACCCTGGGCGATTTTGCAAACGGATGTATTTGTATTACATCCTATTTTGCTCTGTTGTTGTGCACTAAAGTTAATGATTCGTTTTGTTGAATTAACTACCGAATATAAGCAAATCACTCTGTGGGTTCGATTTTCCTTAATTTAGCCCTTCATTATGACACTATAATTGATTCCTTTTCCTACAAATTCATTTTCGTGTGAATACCATCAAAGTAATACGTCTTATATTCCTAGACGTTTTACTTTACCAATTTAAAAAAATAACCACAATAAGGGGCATTTAACAGCGTACAGATATGAAAAACGGAAGATCAATGTACGCATAATTCCGACCGACATTAAACACTGGATGTAGGCAGCAATCTACTTGCAATACAGATATGTTTTCATTTTTAAGCGCAATTCTATAAGAAGTATATATTAGTGCACTCGAACAAATCATATATTCAATCATATCTGTCTTCGGCAATGGAATAATATTCGGGTTGGAATAGTTTCTCCGACACCGCATTGGCTGCATATATCAACACATACATCTCGCCTCTTATGATGATAGTTGTACATAAATAATTCATTGAACAAGGTGTAACACGCGTAAAAGCGAGAGGGGTAACAATGACAAAATCATACATTTGGATGACGGTGACTATTATAGACAATCTAGAAAGAATTTTAAATAATTATCACTGAAGTGCAAGTAATTTAGGATGTTTTTACGAATTTAAATCTGCATCTTTAGTAAAATAAATTTCTCACCACCTAGTTTCCGTGCCAGTTCGGAATGCAGTTGCCAGTTGCTTGACATGTTGCCCACACTCGTAGACCGTGGAAGGCGATGTTGGCACTTTATCAACGTCGTGGAGTATGTAACAGTTTATGCCATGCAGTCGATCACCCGGGGGACTTTTCTTTATCTCCGTAACAGCCGCATTGAACAATTTGCCTCGATTGAAGCCCTGATTGTCAGCCTGCTCTGTAATAATTACAACATACTGACCCCTTTGTTTGCTGAGAAAAGGCAACAAACGCGCTATAAATTTCAGCAGATGCTCCTTCCGATTCCTGTACGGCACAATGACAGCAACCTTCTCCTTTTCAGAATCCGATGACGGCAAATGCACGTGCTTCAAAAGTTCGGCGTATACTGCATCCATTTCAGATCTGACGGGTCTCATTTGAAAGTGCGATAGAAGTCTGCTGAAAGTGTACGTCTGCAGGAAGTCCCCATATGACATAAAATAGCCGAGAGAGTAGTACAGAAACATAAGTGCGATGACTATTAGGGCTGCTAGGCTTCCACAGCATAGACAGCAGCGGTCGTACGAAAAGGCTTTATTCATACTTGCCATCGGGTGCAACTAGAATTCTGTAAATTGAGCTGCCAAAAGACAGAGTGCTCATATTTAGCGCGGACCATTTTTATCCGCCAAATGAGCTGGATGAAGGTCAATGCGATACCATAAACACAGCCATATTATTGGTTGGGCTTGCTGGCACGTTACATACATTTGGATACCTTGTCTTTTGTTCGCGTGAGCATGTAAACTTCATATCTGCGAATAAGATTCTACTAGCGTCCCCTAAATGTCATGCGTTCTTTCCGCCTGCGCTCTTTGTTTAATGTGCCTTTTCAGTCCGTAGTCCTTTGTCTTACACAGACATTCACACAGTGTCTGGAACATTTGTTCACATTTTATTAGTAATTTTTTTCAGCAAATAGCCGTGATCGTTGATTCTAAGCATCAACATGGATACTAAGAGACACCACAAAATATGAATCTTTCGTTGACAAGTTATGATAGTTCAAATGACCGCCGAATTTCCGTCATTACCTGGACCAGCGTGTATGTCGTACTAAGTCGCAAAAAACCACAAATGCAGTAAATAAATAAAAGATCAAATGTGCCACGACATTAAAAATAAGTTTAATGAAGACGGATAGAAGCGAATATGCAGATTCCGGGGTTCTTGTCGTAAAGGAAATGAACACATAATCTGTGGCATGGTACGTGTATAAGTTTCATCCTTCGGTGTTGTAAAGTAGGCCAGCCTCAGAGTCTGTGAAAATGCGGTGTCAAATAAATAGTTTTTATTGACAAACAATTAGGGCGAATTGGATTTCAGGGGGTGTTTGTGATAAGACTGAGTCCATGAAGTCTCACGGCGGTATGGATTCGTGCGCCCTTGACTTGGAATTAAATCTCGCCTCTCGACCGCAAGAAGAGCTTAAGCCACTAAAAGCCCGCGTTTTTGCGTCGGTACACAGAAAACAAGTTCTTTGTAGTTGAAAGGAGCGGACTAACCGATTTCAAGACCTGCTTAACGGCATCTTCCCAAACATTTATTTCACAAGGGCATGTCGAAGAGTTGCCTTTCCTTGAAGTCGCCATCGTCAAACGCAGACCAAATTGTACAGAAAGGAGACTAACAAGATGCAGGTTGCAACTGCCACACCTACCATGCAATGGCGCATAAACGGTGTCGTGTTCAAGCAATCTTCCAAAGGGTATAAACATATTGTAGTGAACCGTAAGCACGAGTAGGTGAACTATGGTATCTTCGGGCCACCCGGCCGAGAGAGTAGTACAGAAACATAAGGGCTGCTAGGCTTCCCCAGAATAGACAAGCAGGCTTTATTCATACTTGCCATCAGTTGGAACTAGAAGAATGTGAAATGGGCTGCCAAAAGACAAAGTGCTCATATTTAACGCAGCCTACTTTTATCCGCCAAATGAGCTGGATGAAGGTCAATACGTTACCATAAACACAGCCATATTATTGGTTGGGCTTGCTGGTAGATTACATACATTTGGATGCCTTGTCTTATGCTCGCGCGAAAGTCTCCTGAATGTCAGACGTTCTTGCAGTCTGCGCTATTTACGCAATGTGCCTATTCACTCCGCAGGTCGCCTGTCCTACACATACACTCACAAAATGTTCACATTTTGTTAATTATCTGCCTGAAAACAGTTTTGGTCGTTAAGCATGGAGATTTGTAACGCCCTTATGGATACTAAGGGACACAACACAATACGAGTCTTTGATGAACAAGTTATCATAGTTTGTATGACCGCGGACTTCGCGTCACATTACCTATGCCAGCGTGTATGTGGTGCCATGACATTTAAAGTAATTATGATGACCAAATATGAAAGCGAATATGCGAGCGGTTGCTATGCAACCGGCCTGCCATCCTGCCAGTATAGTGAACCCGTATAAAGTAATGTCACATGCCTGTAAATTTTTATGCACAACACTTCCTTGTTTTAATCTCAGTAGTCTCCCAGTTCTCTTCGGCAAATGCAAGCGTACAATGTCGGCTTGTTGAAGTTCGCCGAGTCTTCCCACGTTCAGTGAAGTAAACGGCAGTCAGAAACGAGCATTTGAAGTAATTTAACTGCCATAAATGCAAAGAGGGGATGTGTAATGGACCACGGAATATTAACTAACATTAACACGGAATGCTTATGTTTTTTATAAAAGTATATAAGAGCAAAAAGTCAAATTCGTTCCAATGGGCATAAGTGAAAAAGTACACATTCATTTTAAAATGTATAGTTAATATAAACCGGTTAGTACATTATCCTAGTTCCTCGAACTTGGTACACTTCAACATCACTGAGCCCGGCTGAAGCACAATTTTGAACGACCTCCGTATTCCTCTAGTTCTACGCAACCGTAGGCATATATGGCAGATTTCCATTTGGATATACTATGTAATTAGTCGTGAATATAACTCTTTTGGTTAACGTTTTTGTCTTAGTTTAGTTCTCAAAACGGGTTTTTACCTTCAAACACGGCTAATCCTCGCTGCGAAATGCTGGGATCTTGTGGTTTGTGCGTTTTAATAAATTTTAACGGCTGTTCACCTTTTTGCAACACTTTTGAGTAAGAAATCATTCTGCCGATTTTGCGGCTACTAATCATCACATAAATTACGTTAGCTATAGAAAAATGTTCTAAGGATAAAAACCCATGCGTAGTTTGGTAGCGACTGAGGAATTCGGCGTTGGCCTCGATATAGTAAAGATAATTTAACATTTGTCCAGTACTTAGGCTTACAGTCATATGGTAACACCACGGCAATGTGCACGATTTCCTGAAACTTCACTGTTGGCAGACGTACGCAAGGCCTATTGCTTCACAATTAAAAATGGTTCGGCAACATTTGGTGTAGAGGGAAACCCCACAAGGAAAATGAGTTCACAATTCCGACTGTACGTTAATGACGACAATTACAATATCGAAGGCAAGGGCCAACTGTCTCCAGTACATTAGTTGGGTTATGCAGTCCAAAGCTTTAGGTAAAATGGAAACAAAGGCGTTGTTTATAGACAGGGTTAATTTATCCAGGGAGCAGTTTGCTAAAAGGAAATCAGTATTCATATTGCAAAACATCCATGAAATCAGTATTGCATTTGTAATAGAAAGAAATAAAGATATTCCACTATGGCAGTTGTATGAATGTGGCCAAATGTTTTAAGGCCTCGCGAAAGTAAAACTACACTACAACTATTTTTGACAAAGTCTGCAAATGGGTAAAAGATGCATTTGCTATGAAGATGAGCGGTAAATATGGTGTCTGCTTTCATTTAAAGACATTAAAATGGATCAAAATTTGCGAAACTACAAAGTTCGCACATTTTTAGGGTAACAATCGGGAGATGGCACCCAAAAATCCGCCTAACCAATGCAGCCGGTCTTACGGGACAGGTGGTAATAGAGGTTTTATGGGTAGTGGCTTGTCGGGATGTACGATACTAGCCGACGGAAGGCCTTAGTTGAACAGGTGCATGATCGAAGTTGGCCCGCTCTCCTTTTCGTTATTACAAAATGAGTCGCCAAAGGCAGTATAGTAGTAACGGACTAGTGGAAGGCGTATAATTGTCTTCCCTCAGAAGGTCATCTACATTTCTCTGTTTGCCACTCAAAGAACTTCAAGGACCTTACCACCGGACGACACACCAATGTCATTGAGGCATACTGGAGTAGACTGAAAAGGAAACTGCACGATGGAGGAGCTGTGTGGGCTCACATAGACTAAGTACAGTATCGTCTTTGGTATGGCCTCAATGTCATGTATTTGACAGCTGCCTAGGAACTGTTCCTGTCCCACGTTGTGCAAACTTATCCTATTTAAAAGTGATTTTGTTTTGTAATAAACTGCCATAATGCGAATCTATGTCGTATATTCAGGTTTACGTGTGTAACGATGGGGAAGGTTGGGTAACAGCGACCATCGTCCATGTTACCTCCTGCGATGTTCGTTCGGCCAGCCCATGTTAGGCCGTCGCGGAAAGTCCAAGTAGTGCGTGAAAGTAGGCCTGCAACCGCTGATATAGTCTGAAGGTGTTTGAGTCCACTGTTAAATGCATTATTTCCAGGTAACGGATTTTTTGGGTGCCATCTCCCAATTGTTACCATTTTCAGCTCTTTCAGTCAACGGAAATGATACCTCAGGTAACATCGGGTATCACTAACCGGAATTATTTAACCATGCAGTGCTAAACATGCCGATTTGCTAAACGCCACACAAGCCGAAATGATTATTAATGTGTTCAAACAAGAATGGTCAGATTAAGGTGACTAAACTTCATTTGAAACTCATCAAAATCCTTGACTTTTATTCGAAGAGATGTAGTTCGGTGAGAATATTAACTGCACGTGCATTGCAAAGCCATCTTCAACATACCTGCTCTTAGAGCGATTAGTTCAGAGGTTCAGATTTATCTCTAATACAAACGGATTAGAACAGCGCATCAGAACTGCGCATCCTAGAAGACAATGTATAGCCAAGTTGGCAGCAATCGTACCAGCTAAATATGTGGCTGCGAGAGATGCCAGTGATTAGGCCAATGACTTTTGTCTGCTGACAAGGATTCCTTACTAGATTATCAGTTGATGGTGTCGACACTGCCATGTGTATCATAACAGACATACCTTTGATGCTGAACAGCAGTTCGACGCTGTTGTGTCTTTGAGTTAAATGCCTGTTTGCCTAAAAAAGTGCGGTGGCTTGCCGATGATTCATACACTAGCACCGGCAAAGAAATAAGCATGGACAGTTACAAGACAGGAATATATGCAACAAGGGGTTTTATTAGTGAACCTATGGATGCAATGGTTAACGAGGAGGAAAATGATTAAAGGGTAACTATGGCGATCGAAAACACAG